CCCCTCCCGCCCCGTGCCCATTGGTGCAGCCTCTCCTCCAAGTCCGTCTGACCCATGAAACCCGCACCCCGCCCTGGGCCCGATTCTGCGACATCTCCCCCATCTCCCCTGAAGACAGGCTGCCGAGGGTGCAGCCAGGCCCCAAACTAGGCAGTGTGGGGGCACCCTCCTCCCGTGGGGACAAGGTAATAAAAACCAAGAGTGAGCCTGGCCGGTGTGGCTCAGTGGTTTGAGTGTCGCCCTATGAACCTAGCAGGTCACAGTTCGGTTTCCGGTCAGACATGCCCGGGTTGTGGGCTCGACCCGTGTGGGGCCTGCAAGAGGCAGCTGATCAGTGATTCTCTCTCATCATTGATGTTTCTCTCTCCTTCCCCTTCCTCTCTGAAATTAATAAATATATAAAAAAAACACCAAAAAGTGAGCAATTGCCGGGCCTCACCTCCCTCCTCACCATGGAAGCCTGGCCTGGGACGGGGGCATCGCCGGCCACACAGACGGGACTCGGCTGCGGGCCGATCCCCGGAGCTGCACGCAGTCTGGCCCCGGCCTCTGCGTGTGGGTCAGGGGGGGCGGCCTGATGCAGGGCCACGCTGGCGGGCGATGGGCTCTGAACGCCTGAGCCCAGCACCCCTGCCTTGAGGTGTCCTTGGCCAGATCTGCCTGTGGCTCCAGCGCTGGCCCCTAGCCACCCACAGGGGCCCCCCCAATCCCCCCAAAACCAAAACTAGGGCCCCGGACGGTGAGCAAACCCTCCAGGGCACTCAGGGGGCGGCCTCAGCTCCCAGGGCTCCGCGGGGAGACATCCACCTGCCAATGGAGAGCCCAGCGGAGCCCGGTCTGGTTTGCTCAGTGGTCAGAGCGTTGGCCCTCAGTCTGAAGGGTCCTGGGTTCAATTCCTTTTTTTTCGGGTTCAATTCTTGTCAAGGGCATGTACCTCAGTTGCAGGCTTGATCCCCGGCCCTGGTTGGAGTGTGTGCTGGAGGCAACCAGTGGATGTGTCTCCCTCACACTGATATTTCTCTCTCTCTCCCTCCCTTCCACTCTCTAAAAATCAATGGAAAACTATCCTCAGGGGAAGATGAGCCAAAAAACCAAAACAAACCCAGCGGAGCTGAGGCCACCCCCCAGGGCAAACACCAGGGCTGGGAGGGTGTTGAGCTCAGTCCCGAAGCCCCTCTGGCTCTCTGCCTGGAGTGTATGTGTGTGTGCAACCATGTGTGCCTGCATGTGCATGTGTGAGCACGTACAGGTATACGTGCACACACAGCCTGTGTGCACACGAACAGGTGTATGTAGACACGTGTGAGCGTGCATGTGTGCTCACGTGCATGTGTAGATATACATACACATGTGTGTATGTACACACGTGTGTGCATATAGCTGTGTATGTGAGATCAGGACTTGAGCTGCACCAGCGGGCATTGGAGGGGCCCAAGCTGCCACACAGCACGGTGGGGTGCTGACCCCTGGGTGCCAGATGGGAGGGGTGTTGTGACCCCGAGACAGGGCTTTGGGTTGCAGGTGAATAGACGCCGAGGCCCCAGTGGTCAGCAAGGGACTGGCTCTGGCCCTGACTCCTCCCCTCGCCCCGAATGGGCCCCTGGTGCTCGGCGCTCAGCCCTGTGACTCCCAGGGTCCCACACATGCACTGCTGGGAACAGGAGAGCAGGCCCATCTTCGTGCAGACAGACGGCAGGTGAACGTTCCGAGTGGGCGGCTGTGGGAGGGCAGCACCATGGTCACTGCGGCCACTGCCAAGGGCCAGCCCACAGGAGGGTCAGTCATCCTGCAGGAGGGCCAGCGACAGACGCCCGGTGGCCGCACACGCTCCCTCAGGGAACACCCCTCCCCACCTGCAGCAAGCAGGACGGACGAAGGACGAGAGCCGTGGCCGGCGTGGCCGCTTTATTGCAAGTACAGTCAGTTCCCCTGGAGCGGGCAGTGAGGCCGTGGTTTGGCCCAAGCAGGGAGGCAAGAGGTGGACGGCCACGGCCCGGGAGGCTCCACGCGGCCAGGCGGGGAGCTCTGCCAAGCTCTGGGCCCTGGTAGGAAAACAGGCAGCGTCCGGGCCCGAGGGCAGCTGG